TGTAAACACTATAAATAGACTTCAAATGTTGTAATAGAATTCAGGAAATAAGACATCTGCTTTCTTCATTTTCTCATCTCTCTTCTTTCTCCTCTTCTTCTCTTGGAGTCTGCTCCTACTCTAAAGGCGCCTATCCTTCTTGGATGCCAAGATGCTTGACACAAACACAAGTTGGATACAAATTAAGCACAAATTGCGCCTTATTAAACTGTATAATTTATTCTATTTTTATTTCCTCTCTAATTTTTCCTCACAATCTCATTTAATATCTTTTGATTCTTGTCTTTTCTTAAAGTTGATACTTTACAATCTATATTTCCTTAAGATGCTACTTAATGGCATGCAAAATGAAGCTGAGATCTTCCTCCAAACTTTCAGGATGTGGCATGGAGGCATGGGGTTACAAGGTGTTGCATAGGGAGTGTTCAGGATGGATATGATAGGAAACATTAGGAAAACAGGAGAATAATTTCTGAAATCAGAAATTATGCGGGTTAACCAAGAAGATTTTTAGGTTTTTATAAATGAAAACACAAGAAAAACGCTCTGGATTGCTAGGAAATGAAAAGAAATAGCATGATACAAACGATCCTCTATTCGAGGGAAAATTTTTGCATCCGGTCACTGGACGTGCATAATAGGTTCGGACATCCAATAAAAACATGTCACGTCACCTGCGCTTTTGACTGCGCTTTGACTGCGCTTTAGGTGCACTTTGACAGCGTTTTACCTGCGCTTTTGACTGCGCTTTACCTGCGCTTTTGATGCTCTTAATTTAAAATAATATTTTATTAATATCCGGATCTATCTCCGTGTTCGGTGACCGGATGCAATAATTTGCCCTATTCGAGAGGAGGATCAATATCTCCAAAACTTTCTAGACGTCGTTAAAGCCCAAGAAACAAAAGAGAACTTTAGGAATTAGCCATCAAAAAGATGCCCTGGCCCTAATACGAACTCCTAATTAAAACAAACATAAAAATAACCAAAAAAACTAAACAACCCCCTCTCTCTTCCCTAAACCGTGGACCCCACCCCCAAGGGGGCGGCAATTCAAGCCTGCGGCCCAGCAGGTTTCCACCTGCTGTAGGTTTGGAGCCGGCCCAAGGGTTGGGCCGACTGGACCGACCCCTCTTGGACCAGCCTAGGCGTATCAATACTCCGCTCCCAAAGAACCGCCTTATTTTCAAGGTGGAAAGACGGAAATTGATGTTGCACCCTCTCGTATGGCTCTCATGTCGCATCATACTCTGGAAGGTCCCTCCACTTGGTCAATACCTCCTTTACCCCTCCTCCCTAGCGCACCCCTTGTAACTCAAGGGGTTCTAATACCACTTTGAAATCTTTAGTCAATATTGCTGGCAACTCTAAACTCACTGTGTGATCCCCTACAACTCTCCTCAGTTGTGATACATAAAACATTGCATGTATGGTGGCGGTGAGGGGCAACCTCAAACGATACGTAACTATCCCAATTTTCTCTTATATCTCATAAGGGCCAAATTATCTTGGAGCTAGCTTCTCGTTTCTCCTGTTAGCGACCGTCCTCTGTTTGTAAGGCCGGAGCTTCAGGAACACTCTACTCTGCCCATGCTAACCACTTGGCCCACAACCTGGGGGTCTCTAACAAAAAAACATCGTAGGTATGTCTCTAAGGCCACTATTGACCACCTCCATCTGCCCATCTTTCTGCGGGTGATAGGCGGTGCTCTTCAGTACTATTACCTGTATCCTGAATAGCTCCCTCCAAAAATATTTGAGGAATACCTTATCCCTATCAGATATTACAGATTCCGGTATGGAGGTATCCCATGCATTCTGAACACCTCCCTAATGAAAGTTGATGCCACCGTTACTGCCGTGTAGGGACACGTAGGGAAATGAATTGAGTATACTTGCTCAGTCAGTCCACTACCACCAAAATCACTATGAATCCTTCTGATAGGGGTAATCCATCTATAAAATCCATGGATACCTCCTCTCACACCCAACCTGGTAGAGAGATAAAGGTTGCAATAATACTCCTGAAGACATGGTCATATACTTGTTCTTTTGATAGTTCTCACATCTGGCTACCAACTCCTCCATATCCTTCTGCATCCCCTTCCAGTACAACTCTGAGGCTACTCTCCTGTATGTCTTCTGCACCCCTGAATGACCCCAATAGTGTTCCCATAAAACTCCTGGAGCAGGCATGGAATGTGAACTGAAGTTCTAGGCATCACGAATCTCCCCTGGCACAGGAGCATTTCACCTTCTACAGAATATCGTGGGTGGCTACTCACCTCCTTCAATAAATCAGCTCTAATCCTTCCCAACTCCTCGTTATGCGCACTCTCCTCCTTAATGATCTCTCAATCTAACATCAGTGGTATTGACACTGCTAGTGCCTGTAACCCCCCCCCCCCCCCCCCCCCCCCCCCCCCCCTACAGTTTGACAAGGCATATACTTCCTTGTTCTTCATCCCTGGCTTATATTGTATTTCAAAATCATATCCCAACAACTTTGACAGCCATTTGTGGTGCTCCTCTGTCACCATCCTCTGCTCCAACAAGTACTTTAGGCTCCGTTGATCCGTCCTAACAATGAAATGCTGGCCTAACAAGTAGGGTCGCCACTTCTTTATGGCTAACACAATGGCCATCAATTCCCTCTTTTAGATTGACTTCAGCCTGACCCTAGCTATCATCACTTGGCTGAAGTTGGCGATAGGTCGATGGCTCTGCATGAGTACTACTCCCAATCCATATCCTGAGGCATCTATCTCCACGATGAAGACCTAAGTGAAATCTTGTAGGGCTAAGATTGGCACAGTGGTCATGGCCTTCTCAAAAGATGTTGTGGCCGCCTCCCCTCATAAGAACCCATCCTTCTTCAACTGTTTTGTTAGTGGCCTTGCGATGGTGCTATACCCCTTCAGAAACATCCTGTAGTAGCCCGTCAGCCCTAGGAATTCCCTCAACTCTTTGAAATTCTTGGGCAATGACTCTCTCAACATAGCTTCAATTTTGGCCATATCCGCCGCTACTCCCGAGACTACATGCCCCAAGTACTCCACACTGGCCTGTGAAAAACAATATTTTTTTAGATTGGCTCTGAGCTGGTACTCCTGTAACATCTCTAAAACCTTCCTCAAGTAAGATAGCATGCAAAGTGAAAACTAACGCAGTAGAGGTGGAAATTAAGGGATATAGAAGTGAGGAAAAAAATTCAGGATATCAAAATGATGTGAATTGAACACAATGGACACAATGGAATCAATGCTTATAGAGAGGTCTAGTATATCTCTTACACAAAAGGGGGCGCGAGAGAGTCATGCAACCATACTTCAAATATCAATATCATCTATCTTCAATACATAGTACCCTTATTTGGATAACATAGGATTTTATATGATTGGAAACAATGTATTATAAATTCAAATCTAATAATTTGTCATATAATCAAATCTAATCATATCATGATCAAATCAAATATTTGAATCTTCGAAATATAATTAAATCTAATTATATATATGATAAATATGATCATTCATATCATTATATAATAGATGATAAAATAATCTGAGAATATTCAATGGATATGATTATTTTCTCTCACTGTTATTTTTTTAGAGAACATGATCAAAATGACCCATTGACTCCTTATGAAGGATTAAAATGATCTTCAATTATATTAAAGGATTATTTGATCTTTCAACTCCTTAAAGAGGAAGATTATTTTGATCATTTATCTCTATTTTTTTATCAATTATTTTATATAATCTTCAAATTCAAGAATATATTTTTGATTGAGATCTACAACATAAGAATTACATTTTGATTGAAGTTAATCAATCTTTGTGATGAGTTAATAATCTGTCAAATATATGAAAATATAAAGATGTTGAAATATCATATAAAGACACTTTTAAAGTAGTTTGATCTAACTCATATATTTCACCAATCAAAAGAACTTAATACATTCAAATATCATCATAAGCCTATATTTTTTATTCCAAGCCATTTAAAAGCTTGTATTTTGAAATCAACATGTAGTCGTAGCCATCCATTGTGAAAATTTTGATACATTCAATTCAGGTTCGAACAATTTAAAAAAAATTTGATGTCATATATGCTACTAATTTTAGTGATGTCAAAGAGAATGAATTATTTAGATCTTATATTTAAAGGTCTTAATAATCAAATCTAAATAAAATGTTGATAATTCTCTTGTGAGGAGAAAAATATATCCCGGCTTCAGTTTACTTTCAACTATGGATGTGATTAGTTAAAGTTGACTTTCTTGGCTCTAGGAATCTACCAGCGGAAAGCCAGCCGACTGGCTATTATCATTATTAATAGGATATTTAAATTTGGTTGGATGTGTGCGCATCTGAGTCTATTCTTCCAAATTTTCATCCTTAGAACTTGTAAGTTAATTTAACCGTTTGGTTTGGTGGAAAAAGTGTTTAAGTGTTTCAGAACATTTACTTCATAACTCTATAAACAATCACTTTAGTCGTCTTTACTTTGTAGAAGTTCTGAACAAAGATTTACTGCCAAACAAATTGTTTTCGTTTGATATGATTGTAAAATCCCGTTGGTCTATTGTGTAACTTTGTTTATTTATACTTCATTTGAGATCATTTTTTAATTGTTCTTTTGATAGAAAAAACAGTCAATGCAAAGCGGTATTCCTTTGAATTTGCCTTAACATTTCTTTTCCAGAATTTTATCTGGAAAAAATTTCAGATCACTTTCTCATAAATCTGTAGCGTAGTCATTTGACTGGATGAATTATTTTGTGCGAATGTCGAACGCCGTCCAGAGCCCAACGAAAATGCACCACGTCACCTCCTACTCGGTACCGCGGCTCTTTACCGAGCTCGGTATTGGATGACGTGGTTGCACCTAATTCAAACAGTTTTCCACAGAATAATCTCTCCATCCAAAACAAGTCCAATCTTCTTTTATTTTCTTAGAATTTATGCGATCATTTTAGTTTTCTATTTACTCAGGCAACATCAGAGTTCAGTGCTGAGAAGCAGACCCATGATCTACTTTTTCCAAGGTTTCAACAGCAGCAGCAGCAGTGGCAATCTGCTCAGAGCAGAGACCACTGATACAGAGCAACTCCTCAGGCCTTCCACAAAGCAAATGCTCTGATTGGATTCTGTTGTGTAAGATTAGGGTTTATGGTCAGCCCTTTATTTTTATATTTTGGTTAGAATGGGATTGCAGAGGAAAACTGTTTGATTATGATTCCAATGTTAATCAATGCACATAGAACTGGAACATGTAAATATAATGTTATTTATGTTTGGTTTGGAGTAATTAAGGGGGCTTTTAATTGTATTTTATTTCATAATCTTATATTGGGTATTTAGTTGGAATGTAAATTTTTTATTTATTTATATAAAATAAAATGTAATTTTTATGTATATATTTTGGTGTGATTTGCTTAAATAGAAATTTAGAATGTGTATATGCAAATATATAAAAACTTTATGTTTATTATGTAATTCTCTTAAATTTTATATTATTATTTTCTTATTGCTTTGTTTTTTTATTTATAATAATAATTATTTTTTAATATTACTTTCTTGTAGATTTAAGAAATTAAAAAAATTAAATTTTGCATAATAATAATAAGAAACCTCTGGACCGGTTTTACCTTAAAAGACTAAACTCTTTAACCTAAGGATTTGAAGTCACCCTTCACAACCACCAAAACCATGGGCAGAAATCCTATGGCAGTTCTTTTTTTTAAGTTCACGGGATTCCTCAGGTAATAAGAATTTTTTAGTCAGTAAAATTTAATCAAAATAAATATTAAAATCATTATATTTATTTTAAATTAAATATTATATAAAAAATATACCACACTAAATTCAATAAATTTAAATTTTATTGAAAAAAAAAAGAATTTTTTAAGTTATTTTTTCTTTAAAATGAAATGGGGACTATAAATTAAAATTTTAACGTAGAAAATACTGACTTATTTTCTTATGTGAATACTAAAATAGATTATTTTCATATGAATATAATATAAATTTTGACTGGATTTTTTTATTATATTAATTTTAAAATAGATATAGTAATTTTAAATTTATCATGATTAAAATTTAATTAGAATATACTATTCAAAATCTTTCCCTTAAGAAAATCAATTATGTACAGTGTAATTCTGTATATTTGTAAAATCAATATCTTTCAGTTTCTATTTGTCAATTTATCACCAAAATATTAAAATTTATATTTTTTAATAATTTTTTAATGATTTGATTATAATTTGTGTAAATACATAAATATGATATTTTAAAAATATTTATATTATTTCTGTAAATAGGTATAATTTAGGTGTTGTTTGTAATTCCCCCCAACCCTTAGCTGTATGACTGTATCTGCGGCTCCCAATACTTAAACTGGTCCAAAACCGCCCGCCGTTTTCTTCCTGGCTAAACCGCGGCAGCTCCGCCTACAACTTCCATTGTTGAAGAAGATGCAGAGCCCCAACAGAAAGTTCACAAATTTTCCTTACTACAGAGAGGCTCTGAAACCACAGGAAATTAACCACATTTCTCCTCTTTCGATCTCCCTTTCTCATAGAAGAAAGATGATTTGATTAAGCTGTTCGAGAAGGAGGTGGGAAGCTTTGACAGAAGATAGCGTAAGACTCGGAATGCTTGGCTTAAAGATGTCATTTCAACAGCAAAATCAAGCTTTTCCTTCTCCAAATCCTCTCTCTCAACCTCAACAGCAGCGAAATCTTTCACCTTTTGCTTCGCAGCTGCAATCCGAACACGCGTATGGCTGCGGTGGAGTTAGAGGAAAGCAGCTGCAGCAAACCCATAGCTCTGAGGATGAGCTCGGATTCGGAGAAGAAGCAACCGCCACGGCCGCAGCCGCTGCTGCTGAACGTGTCTCGCAGCCGCAGTCACCATCGCCGTGGCAGAGGATGAAGTGGACTGATAGTATGGTTCGTCTTCTCGTATGGGTCGTCCACAGCGTTGGAGACGATGGCGCCGGCGTTGAATGCCCCGAGCAACAGCATAAGGGGAAAAAGTCGTCGTCTTTGCAATTATCATCGTCGTCCGCCGCGGCGGCGGCGGCTGGAATGCAGCTGAAGAAAGGAAAGTGGAAATCAGTATCGAGGGCAATGTTGGAGAAGGGATTCTACGTCTCGCCGCAACAGTGCGAGGATAAGTTCAACGATCTGAACAAACGTTACAAGCGGGTGAATGAGCTCCTCGGAAAGGGAACGGCTTGTAAGGTTGTAGAAAACCCCGCCCTCCTCGACTCCATGGATCACCTGTCTCATAAAGCCAAGGCAGAAGCCCGCAAACTCCTTAGCTCAAAACACCTCTTTTTCCGGGAGATGTGCGCGTATCACAACACCTGCCTCTCCGCTTCCGCCGCCGCTCTACAGCCGGATCACTCCTCCTCTGTTTCTCCGGCTACTATCAAGATCCGAAAAGGGGGCGGCAGCCTCTGCACCGTAGAGGAAGAAAGCGGGCACCTTTGCCATGACGACGACGTTGCAGACGATGAAGAAGAAGAAGATGACTACAACGAAGATGAAAGTGATGATGAGGAGGAGGATGATAACGGCAGCTTGGGGGCAAAGCGGAAGGCTTTGATGTCGCCGGCAGCATCGTCTCCATTGTCGTTATCACTGTCTTCGCCCTCGGGATCATCGTCGGTGCAGGGAGAACAGCAGCAGAGACAGTGGCTGAGAATGAAGGCGGCGGAACTCGAAGAACAGCGGGTTGTTTACCAGAACCGGGCGCTACAGCTAGAGAAGCAGAGATTCAAATGGCTACGTTTCAGTAGCAATAAGGAAAGGGAAATGGAGAAGACGTGGTTGAGGAACGAGAGGCTTCGGCTGGAGAACGAACGGATGCTATTGCTTTTGCAGCAGAAGGAGATTCGCCTTCTTGAGTCCGCTGGAAACGCCGGCGGCGACGCTAACGGCGGTTCGAACGGTTCCTATCAGTTCACGGCGGCGGATCGGAACCACAACTAAATTAAAGTTGACGCTTTTTATTTCACTTGGTCGGTACCGCCGTTCAAAGTAGGCTATGGGTTTGGATTTATCATATTTTGCTTTTCTGTGTGTTAATAGGTACATTTTGAATGCAGAACAATGAAACTGTTGGTAGGTTTAGGGCATCTCCAATCAAACCGGAGAGATTATTCCGTGCGGATTCTGGATCGAAGAATCATCCGAATTTTATAAATATATGCAGTAGTTAATATTCACCGCTGAGTTTTTATTGTGCTTTTGTTGTTCGCACTCACAAAAATCAGATGGAGTTTGGTCCAAACTTCACATGTAATAATCTCTAATCAAACTGGATACAACCATTTGTAGTTTCACGAGCTGTCCACCCAAATGATATTCACAACCAGTGGTAGAGCCAGAAGTTTTATTCACAGGGGGGGTGGCCTAAAACACTGCAGGAAAATCACCCATTACTGGCATAATTTTCCGGTGATTTTCAGACAGTTTATTTTCCAGCAATCAATTTTATGGCGGTTTGTCATCTCATTTGAATGTCAAAATACATTAAAATAGTTCTGTTTGTCATCTCATTATTGGAGCTAAGAGGAGTTGTAAAATCAAAATTAAGAATGCAAATAACATGCCCAGAGAGGAGCGAAAAGGAAAAAAAGAAAATTGTGCTCGAGATTGCGAGTTATGAGAGATGAGCAAAGGAGAAAATGAAGCATGCAGTTTGGATTGAGGGAAAGCAAGCCATTTGGAAGCAGTCTCTAATTGGGCCTATGATATAATATTGTTGCTAGAGAAAATTTTTATAAGAAAATTATTGTGAAAATTAGTAAGAAAATTATTCCGAACAAAATCTAAAGCATATTCTTGCATGTTAAAATATGAAATTGTTAGGTCTTATTATTTATAAAATAATGCTAATTTTTTATGTAAATTAATCCTCCACAATTAAATTTGTTTTAAAATGATTGCAAAACATAAAAAATTCAATTAAAATATATATTACACAAATCTTAAAATAAATACAATACTTTTAAAATCCATTTTGACAAAAAAAAAATGATCGATAAATTTGATAAATATTTTTTTATGAATATACTACATGTAATAAAAATGGTATAAAAATGGGATTTTAATGTCTAACAGTTTTTTTCATAAAAAAAATTATTTTTTTACTAGAAAGCTATTTTAAAAAGCGGTAAGAAAATCATCCCAAAACAAAGCTTTAAAAACCTTGGCCACATTAAAAAGTCACATACAACAAACATGTTAGACATTAAAATCCCCAACAGCCCACAAGAAAAGTATAAGGAGAATTAAATATTGTATAAAATATTTGATCAATGAATACATCTCTAACAAAAAGCCTTTGAACATTTTGCTAAGACTAAATCTCTCGGAGATCCTCCCTCTAATTGTGAATTTTTTAGATGATTTTGACTGACATATTCATCAACTGGACGTTAAATAAAATAAAAAATTAAAAAAAAAAAACTTTTTAAATAGAGAACATGAAGTAGTGTATATGAATATTCCTCCTAAATTTGAGATTGCTGACAACTAAGAGACTAAGATTTTATTTGGGACGGCTTTTTCTCTGCTTCTTAAAGTAACTTTCTAGTACATAGATTTTAATTTTTTACTAGAAAGCCACTTTAAAAAGCAGGCAGAAAGCTGTCCCAAATGAAGCCTAAGATTTTATTTGGGACAGCTTTTTCTCTGCTTCTTAAAGTAACTTTCTAGTAGAAAAACATTAATTTTGATACTAAAAAACTGTTTTAAGAAGCAGTAAGAAAGCCGTCCCAAACAAAGCCTAAGACTTCATTTGGGATGACTTTCTTACTGCTTCTTAAAGTAATTTTTAAATACAAATTTTTTTATTTTTATACTAGAAATCTATTTTTAATAGCGGTAAAAAAGTTGTCCCAAACGAAGCCTAAGATTTCATTTGGGATGATTTTCTTATTGCTTCTTAAAACAGCTTTTTAGTTAAAAATTTTTAATTTTTATACTTGAAAGCTGCTTTAAGAAACAATACAAAAGCCGTCCCAAACCCAACCTAAAACAGATCTTAGCAAATGAATTTGGAATTAAGGATCTGAATTCCCTTAAATGTTTTCTTGGTATGAAAATCCCAAGATTGAAGAAAGGTATATTTTTATCTCTTAATGAGAATATATGATGGACCTTTAAAAAAGTAAGGGATTATGATAAGCACTCTCACAAATACTCCTATGGAACAGTAAAAAAATAGGAATAAATTGTGAGAATTCCCAAGTTAACAAAGAAATGTACTAGCAACAACAACAACAACAACAACATCAAGCCTTTATCCCACTACGTGGGGTCGGCTACATGAATCCTTTTTCTCCATTGTGTCCTACGTTTAAATCTAATAAAGAAAGGTCATTCCTAATATTTTCTAACCAAGTCTTTTTAGGTCTACCCCTACCTTTCTTAACATAAGTCAAATCTAATACTTCTACTCTCCTAACCGGGTCATCGCAAGGCCGCCGTTTTATGTGACCAAACCATCTAAGGCGACTTTCTCTAATCTTATCTTCTACTGGAGCTACTCCAACCTTTTCACGTATATGCTCATTTCGTATCCTATCTCTAAGAAATGTTCTAGCATCTGGATAAAAAATATTATGTATTTCTCAATACTCATCTTATCATCTATTACACTATTAGTGTGCTCAACCGATTTATGAATACTCTAAGGTTTTGTTTGGGACGGCTTTCTTACAGCTTCTTAAAGCAGTTTTTTAGTATAAAATTAATTTTTTTATACTAAAAAGCTGCTTTAAGAAGTAGAAAGAAAGTCGCCCCAAACGAAGCCTAAGAAATGTTTTGATGCAATCTACATGATACTAAGGAATCTAAACTTGACCCCTAAGAAAAGGCTTGTTCTTCAAAAAAGGAGATAAACAGGAGAATAAACATATTCATGAATACAAATTGGGCTAAGTTCATAACTGTCTGACTATTATTTATTCATGTCAGTAAATCTTGTCACATGGAGAAGTAAAAAACAAGCAAAGATTGCTAGAAATAGCACTGAAGTAAGAATTCATGGCTATGGCTCATAAAAACAAGCAAAGATTTCGAAGCCCAATATCATAAAATTATGATAAAATCCCGACAAAAAAAAATTCATACTACGTTTAACACTATCGTTGCTAGGTCCCAAGTCCTGGATGAGAAAAATGGAGAATTATGTTAGGTAGTCGACAGCCAGCATAGAACTTGTCGAATAATAATGACATGAATCCTTTAAGAAATTATGTTTATAATCCATCATGAGAAATTAAGGCTTCATTTGGGATGGCTTTCTTACTACTTTATAAAAACAACTTTTTAATAAAAAATTTTAATTTTTGTGCTAGAAAGCTACTTTGAGAAACAGTAAAAAAGTTGTTCCAAAAAAAAATCTAAATTTCTTTGAACCGTAACAAAGACACATAAGTAACTCTACAAGTGAGACTCTCATTAAATGTGAAATCTAGAAAAGAAAAACATTTAATGTACTACATTATGATTTGTGCACATTTTATGCATAAATTAAAAGGCCAACACAATGTAGTATTTACCTTATATAGATGATTCAGCTGCAAAATCTGTTGCATTTACACTGGGGGAGGAGGTAAGTCCAGTAAGAGCCAAAAGCCAACACAATCATCTGAATCTAAGTTCTCTTGAATGGCAAGAAAATGCAGGCCTCCACATGCTTTCTTGGCTGCTTCCCATGCTTCAGCCTCTTTAGTTGTTACAGCAGTTTTTTTGTATGTAGCGTAGACATATCTGGTTGCTACACCAGCTGATAAGATCAGACATGCTCTGCTGGTATCTACCTCCATTGAATCAACCTCCAATCCATTCATCCAAGCTAGAAATATCAAAATCACCACAGATTTTACCAGCCATAGCAGATCAGATTGTGAATTTGACTTGGAAATCAAATATTGCTCAAACTTCAGGATGACCTTGTTAAATTCATATAATTAGAAGGAAAATGCTTAATTTTATTCTGCAAAATTATCCCAATTTATAAATAGATACAAGACGTCTTAATAAAGAAATAAAGAACTACATAAACATGCATAATTGCTTTAATATAATCCTTCCTAAAGCAGCCACCCAAATATAGAAGGAGATCAACATGAAGTATGAACTAGGTGATCATCCCACTGATCCCCATCCTAGCCATAGGATCAAGAGCCAAGGGACGACTAGGATGGCTGGGACCGTATTTGACACTCCCCCTCAAATTGGAGAATTTATATTTGTCATTCCAAGCTTGTTAATCAATCCCAGAAAGGTAAAACTATATTAAGCAGGGCAACAATTAAGGTTAGATAGATAGGATAACTCCAATAATGGAATGTCGACAATGAAGACGTGGTAGTAGAAAGAAAAAATAAACATATTTTAAGGGTTACAATAAGCTTCAGGGATAGCAACAGAAAAAACATGTCTCAACCCTCAAGCGGCTCAGCATTCAGTACACAAATCTCCTTCCGTTCGATCTAGCCAGCCTTCAGCCCAATGCAAATCAGTCATCCGACTCCACCAGAACACTCCTGTTTGATCGACCCCATTCAGGCGCACACAAGGCATGATCCCTTTGGTCTGATCGCAGGAAGAAGTGCAAGTCTTGCACTATTACTTGTCCCGGTCCTAAACCCTCACAAGAGGAAACTCTCAACTCTTTACATACGCACACAAGGTCTCATGCACTCGACTTCTCTCGCTTCTACTCGGTCTACTCCATACATTACACGTGAAAGGAGCACTCCCACTCTCTCTCTCCTCGGTCTTGGATGCATGAAGGAAGCATGACCAATAATCATTAGAATTCCGATAATGAAGGCTAGTCGTGGGTACATATATTCCTCAGAATTCCATGAATGAAGGCTGGTGATGAGAACATGCATTCCTCAGAATTTTAACAATGAAGGCCGATGGTGAGAACATGTATTCCTCAGAATTCCAGCAATAAAGGGTAGTGGTGGGAACTTGTATTCCTCAAAATAACAATGAAGGCTTGTGGGAGGAACATGTATTCCTCATAATCTGACAATGAAGACCAGTGGTGGGAACTTGGAGAAACAGCAAGTGCTAGCTCTTTTAGGGTAGGATAAAGTGCTTCTAATCTCTCTATAGCCTCACCTTCGATATCTATGATCGACTCCCTACTTAGGGAAGTAACGTATTTCACCATCAACATGCTCCCAACTCTTCGGTCACCGTAAGCACGTTGTGGATCGTAGCAGTAAATTGCCTTATCACCAAGAAAGCCATCTTCTTCTCCACAGCACGCATCGTCTGGGCAACTCCACGTACCAGGATTGCTCTATTGGTGAGCTTTGGAAATTTAATACAACGAGCCGATTTCAATCCAAATCCGACTGGCAAGGTTCTCAATGACGATTCCATCAACGACAACGAAGAAGACAAGAATGTGGGTTACGAAGTGGCGTTTGCCAATTTGATGGATCGATCACAATGGCGAAGATCTTGGGAGAGGTCGACTTCGTCTGTTGTCCATAAGGAGGCTTTAGCCTTCTTGGACATCTCCCAGATTTGAGGGTAATGGATTGAGAACATGCAGAAGCGGTCAGGATTTTGGGTAAGGAGGGGCTCTTAGAGTGGAGGATTTGATGGCGTGTACAACAGCTCTTCAACCGGTTGTTCCTTGCTCGTTTCAGCTCTAGTACATGCATGAGGGCTAGTCATCCCTGCTCAGGCGCACACACACATAGTTCATGCTCTCTCTCTCTCTCTCTCTCTCTCTCTCTCTCTCTCTCTCTCTCTCCTCTTCTTCACTCGCTTGGCCAACAGGTAGGCACGCACAAGAGCCGCTCATAGAAAACCGCAAAGGGGAAGCCCTCTCACTTGCTCGGCTGTCCTAGACACACACAAGCAGGAACAAAACGCAAGAACCAGCTCTCCCTCTCTCACGCTCTCATTTTTGAAGAAGACCCAAATGCCTTACTCTGACACCATGTTAAATTCAGAGAATTGGAAGGAAAATGCTTAATTTTATTATACAAAATTATCCCTATTTATAGATCTATACAAGATGTCTTGATAAAGAAACAAATAACTACATAATCATGCATACTTGCCTTAATATAATCCTTCCTAAATCCGCCACCCAAATATAGAAAGAGATCGGCGTGATCCTCCCACAGATCCCCATCCAGGCCATAGGATCAAGAGCCAAGTGATGGGGACATCAGATCAGCGTGGAAGGTTTATCAGAGACGTGGCCGCCGATCTACGGCCACGATCGAGTCCTTGTATTTATGAGTCATGATTGTATTTTATTTTATTTATGCATTTTCTTATTTGCTTAGGTGTCGTTATTATTTCCCTTTGTACCCCTTTCATGGGAGTGGTCGCATGTAAGCCCAAAGGGCAAGTTGGTCTTTTATTTTCTTGAGTCTTTGTACCAGGCTATTTATAGCCTCATTTTCTTTGTTTTGAACTAATGAATGATTATTAAGAATTTTTCCTGCACTTGTGTTTGAGAGCATTTGAGAGTTCTTGGAGAGCTTTGGAGAGATCCCTTGGAGAGGGAGATTCACGCCTTCAATTGCTCTTGCCAAGCCTAGTCATTTGTAGGAATTGAGTGTAATCTTCTATGCATCCTACGTCTCGTTGTTAGATTAGGGATTTAATTTGAAGCCTACTATTTTGCGTTGTTTGATTTTCTTATTTACCTTGAAAGCTTTAAAACTCAGAGCATGTAATCTCACCTAAGCAAAGTACCTCCTTATTTGTTTTGAACCTTCGTTGAGAATTGCTAGTAATTGCTTTCTAAATTTATTCTAATCTAAGAGTTGTGCAATGCCTAAATGAATACATAAACATCTCATCTAAGTAGTCCTGCATCACCAAGGGACGGCTAGAATGGTTGGGATGGTATTTGACAGTTTTTAAATTGAGCCAGGTCAAGATCAAATCAAGCCAGTCCAAGCCAGTCCAAGCCAGTCGATACATAAGCACTGCTATATATGTATCTATATGTGTACAGGTGGTTGTTTGTAACTTGTGCTAGGAATTTGTCTTAAATCCAAAATCTATTGAAAATGAACTATTATTTCTAATCCTGGATCGAAAAGAGATCAAACTATCTTATGATCAGGCTTGGCTCAACTGGAGATTTGAGCTGATCTTTTGAACTGATATTGACCGGAATAGGAATGGCTCCAGATAGAATTGATCGCAGTTATAATTGCAGCCAAGTGCAATGAGTAATTAACAAATGAAAGATGGTGATTCATGTATGCTTACCAACCTGCATAACTAATGTATGGTTATTAGTGGCTTCATGGAAGCTTAATGAATCTGAAGGGAAGAAAATTGTACCTGCCAGAGGTTTTGCACGGGACGATGCAACAGCAACACCAGGAACTAAGGTTTTGTCTTCAATTTCTAGGCCCAAAAGATCCAAATCTAGAGTTCCACCAAATGCTCTTCTTTTCTCTAGTGATGAGACTTCCTCTCTAACAGCTGAAAATATAGGAATTATGAGTCATTTATCTTGAGAAAGAACATTGGAGCACTCGTTAATTACATAAAAAATAGATGTCAAAGCAAATTAGATTCAAAGGCTTGTTAGAATATGAGCTTAATCTGAGAGAGGGCATAAATTAAAGGAGGAATATCAAAATTGTATTCTGTCAAAAGGCTTGCGAAGGGCATTCAGGAGGCTGAGCATGGACGGAAAATTGGCATGTATGATGCATATTCCAAGAGAATACTTGATATTCAAGCGAAATTTGTCATATGTTGATATGAAGCTCCTCTAAGAAAGGAACACCAATCAGTTGCTTTTTTTTTTAATTTAGAGCAATTGAATGGTTTTCAGAACTCAGAAGGGGAACATGCCATACCTTCTACTGTAACATACTGTAAGGTACCTTCTGTGAGATCCAATAAATGGTTTATTGAGCAAGAATGTATACATTAGTGCATTACATGAAAAGTACAGTAGGTTCCCATTAGTTTTGTATTAATTCAAGATCCATACATGATTATCAACCCTTGGATTTTGAGGAACCTTTGATTACAATATTGAACTTTCCAAAATGAACTTCTCTCACTTCGGTAATTCCAAGTCTGAAGTTTGAAAAGAATTAGTGGAATTGCACCAAATTCCGTTCCTCCGTTGTTCTCTTTATGTTATCATCTTCTTCGTTTTCTATTTCATTTTCTTCTTAGTTTGGATGAGTAATTGATAACATCTGACTTCGCCGCAATTGGTTATATGGATCAAACCATAACTCAAAGAACTTCAAGGAGTAGATGACCTCAACTCTTGTGATTTCTACACTTCCAAGGTTAAAGTACATTTGCAACCTCCTAATTGCTAGATTACCTTTATTGGCATATTTGTGGAAGTTATAATTAGCCTTTTAGTTTAATATGGAATACAGAGGTGCATGAAACTCCAACTACAGAATCTGGGGAGAGATTAATCTATATAAAGTTCAGAAGGCTCATTTCGATTCTAGCATTAGATATTGATGCATCCTGCATCCAACTAATATTAGATTTCAGCTTTCATTCAATAACTGTCGATATGAGAATTCCAATTTATCTCAAGTTTAATTGTATGCTAGATGAATGATCAAGAAAATTTTCTAAGCACAACAAGGCCATTTAACAAAAAATTCAGTCACTATGGTGATAACGTCCTTCTTTGGAGGCTGACGTCTAAGTGATTCACAAATGCTAAGTTGTAACTGAAGTGCCCAAATTACTCAATTTGAAAACGTAAAATAAAGCACTTCGACTAATCTAGTAAAAACGAAACTAGCATCACGCATATAAATACAATAAAGAAATAATTAAACAACCAAAATGACAATAATACTTGGATTTATATGGTTTAGCTAATATTATAACCTACATTGTTACAAGCATAAACACAAATCATGGAAAACACAGAAAAAAAAGTAGAAAAAGCTCAATATAATTTCCAAACTATTCGTGTTGGCCAATTTAGTCTCAGACTATCACGTTGTCCCAATTTAATCCCTCGACTTCATAAAATTGAATCAAAATAATCCCTCATATTGTAATTGTGATATAAATTTGATCCCAATTTAGTTCCTCGACTTTACAAAATTAATCTCAATTTAGTCGCAAAGGAGCCATTTTGGATCAATTTTGTATAGTCGAGGGATCAAATTGGAGCAATGTTATACTTGGGGGCTAAAATGGTCATATTTTAATAGTCGGGGGCTATTTTGAAATTTAACCCAAAGAAAAAGTATTAAAATAAAAGAGAAATAATTACAACTTGCCTAAAGCTAAAGCCCTGCGTAGAGATAACTAGCCAATTTTATATCCCTCCCTTCTAAAATGAGATTTATTTTATTCATGCCCACATTTTCTAATGGAAGCATGTCATCTTAGAGGGTTGCTAGGAGTTACTCCATATCATGGCCTATATCTTGATGATCACTCCCCAGCCTCTTCAAATCATCCCTTTTAAATTCAAGATGCCACAAGCCCATCAACTTCAGCTTGGCTCGTCCCCAAACCATATATCGTACTAGAGGAGGTCAGGCTTTGATAGTACTTGTAATGACACAACTCATATTATGAGAGAGATTATCCATTTTGGCTTGGTTCATCCCATATGAGGCCAAAACTCACAATGCTATTCATTTTGATGTAACTTATTAGGATTCACCCATCCAAAGATAGCAACGCCATGAAAACATTTAATGGTGTAGTTAACAAAGAAATTTTTCCTATACGCAAAAAGGTGCCTAACATATTCAACCTAACCTTTTACTTTTATAGTCTAGTATAATTTCCTGCTCCTTTGACATGCGATGTAGTTCAATCATATCCTTTTTTTCTCCTAAAGCTTATCATAAGCCACTCCTTATATAGACCTCTACCCTACCAATCATTCTCCACCCTCTTCTAACTGCCTTCCTTGGATTTGGGATGTCACACCTAGTCACTATTCCTTTCAGGAGAACAACCATGTTGACTACTTTGGGTTACCCAATGTTTGTTAATAGATGCACTCCAACACAACTTCTGATGCATGTCATCACTCAACATTTGTAATCATCCAACATCCACCATCAAATTTGACACCTTCGGACTTTTACTATCATAACAGACGCTTCTCGTAGTTCAAGTCATTTACATTGTAGTCAAATCATCTCCAATTGCGACAGGTGGCCCTTTGTGATTCCCGACTATAACTAATGAAACTATTTCAATTGGCCAAATCCTTGTGAATTTTCCTTACCAGAATTCCACAGAAGAAATCATGTTACTTATCATTACAATTCCTGAGACTGCTCGCATAATTCATGTTCAAAACTAATATAATTGATTATTTCTCTCCTATTGCAAATATTCTAGAACACAATAAATATTAATTTCATTTGATGCATTGTGCATATAACCATTTTATTTTCCATGTTCTACGCAAACATTAAATTGTTTGCATCACAGATGTGCATATATGGTTAGTTATATAAAATTATAGTAATTATCGTTACTAAAGTTTGGTGATTAAATCATGTGGATACAGAAGAGATAGGATGAAGGCTTGTAGAGTGAAGACAAAAATGAAAAATGCTGTCGAGGCAAAAATTCTATCTGATAAATGGACTTTTTATGATTTTGAACATTTACCTGAATACGGCAATTGGACAAAAGCCCATCTTTCTCCAAAAAGGTTTTCGGGAAGTTCCATAGGAAATGGATTGTCCAATGCGAGAAGAGGCTTAGATCCTTTTTGAAAGCCAGGATGACGAGTATATACAGTCTCGTAACGCTCTTCTAGCCATAGAAGCAATGAAATGCACTATTAAGTCATCAGAGGACAGCTATCAGCATAAAAAATATCTTGTAAATCATAATAACTTAAAAACAATAAAAATAAAAATAAAAAAATAAAAAAATAATAATAATAACTTAAAAACAACAATAACATGAACTAATAGAAAACAAAAAGTGCTAAACATCATGGCATGTACCAACACAACCATAAATTATACCTATTAGGTATGGAGTTCTGAAAGAAAACGGAAATAGATCGCTGTCTATCAAATTTGTTTGTAGTTAGTAGCAAAAAATATGGCAGCCCGCATAAGCTCACTCTATAAAGTTTAAGTACCTTTCCATGTGCATCATTTAAGGTAATTTGGCGTAAAAAATATAAGAAATGAATGAACACCCATCCTCCTTCACTATAGGCACAACTTATGAATTCAGTTCTCTTAAAAGCACTCTTCATGCATGATAAATGTGTTTTCCATTTCCTAGTGCTCCCACACAAGGAAATCTCAAATCACAACTAGAAGTACTCTATCCCAGACTTAGAGAATCCGATTGACTAGATATCCAATTTACATCAGTGAAGAAGCTTCTCGAGCTCTCATGCAAATAGGGGCGGAACCAGCCTTAATTCTTAGTGGGGACATGCTTAGAAAAAAATAAAAATGCATATAACACAAAATTTAAATCAAATTCTCACATGGCGTTATAATTCTTAAATTAAAAAAATACAAGCATTGCATTCTATTTTATATTTTATGATAATATTGCATTACAACTTCATTTGGAATTAAGTCAAATACTTCTTTCTCAATATATGACACTAGACAATTGCTGAGCTAATCATCACCCATTTTACTGCGTAATCAATGTTTAATGATTTCATTACATAAAACGTTATCTCTACTGTAGCAGTGACAGCTGGCAAAGCTAATGTCAAGACAATAAACCTGTAAACTAAGGGATACACAACATCTTTCTTAATTTTAATAAATAGTTTTGCAAGATCAGTAATGCTACTCAAATATGAGAACTCTCTTGTATACATATAAGAAATGTATGTGAATTGTGGTGCTCTAGAGTCATAAGTTCAACTACAGAAAATTCTGTTGAATATAGCTCTACAGGCTAATTAATTTTTCCTTATCATAATCAAAAAATGAACTACTTGGATTTAGAAAGAAAACACAAAGAAGTAACTCAGTACTAGCTTCAAAGTATCTATTATTTAGCTCTTGAAGTTACATATCAATAACTGTGTTAAAAAAATCTTCTCATCTTTACTCAACCATAAAGCATGAAGACTGTATTCTTGATTCTTCATTAAATCTTATTATGTATACTATTATGCTCTCCAACGTGACTTAATAGTTTTTTTTTTCATATTTTTAAACTCTTCCCCGATAAATGAGTTTCCACCACATTGGCCTTGAATAATTTGCTCTGAAACTTGAATAGGTAGTACTAAAGAAAAAAAAATTGTATATTTCTACACGTACTCTAACCAATCAGCACATTCATAAAACCATTTAAGATTAAATATACGTGCAATATCTTCAAATAATATTTAGGGCATTTGATGACTTTTTCATTTATAGGGTCCCTTCAACAGATATGCTCTTTGAATTTTATCTCTATCATTAACATCTTCACTCCAAATTGTAAATCGAAATTCAGGATCAGCTGAGAAATTATTAATATCAATCTCTACAAGTTCTTTTCTCTTTAAATAACGGTCCATTTATTATACCCTTAAAAAATTAAGACAAAAAAAGATCACCCGTCAATTAAAAAATACATCAAAATAATTTCATTATTATATTGACAAATGTATGTTATGTGCCGTTAAGTTTATTGTTTTGTATATACATGTATTTGGAGGTAGTTTGACGCTTCAAGACATGATTAACGAGAAAATGAAAAATAACATAATTGAGAAAATAAATAAACGTTACAACTATACTTATCTCTATAGTTGTTGTCTGTTTTTCAACTCTATAGCTTTCTAGTACCCATAAGAAAACTTTTTTAGATTTAGATGGAAAGAAGAGTTTATGTCTTAAAAGAGATGAAAGAGGAAAAACTAGTTGATCTAATTTATGGAATATTCAATCTTATTGACAAATTTTAATTTAGCTCGAAGTTCTATAAAATTGATTCAATTGAATACAAATTTATGTTGTGGATAATATATCAATATTGTTGAAGTTTTTTTATGAAGCATCTATCAATTTTTATATAAGTCCTCCTATCATGGTGAATGAGATCTTTATCAATCTTTTGTTGTGCATGTAGTCATATAAAAACATACATTCATTAGAGCTCACATAACAACATCCCCTCATTCAAGTATTATTTCATGTCGAAGATGATGGCTTCTGTTTACCTCTATTTCAAATTTGAACTTGCTTGAAATAGATATATGAGTGCTCCTACTTCCGTATTCAAGCGAGAAAAAAATAAAAAGGGATCCTCCAAAGTGTCAACCAATTGAAGACGTGACAGATAATGTTGATGCTCACTTATATGGATCATTGTTGTCGGAGAACTGAGCAGTTGAAGAAAATTTTAAAATGATCATATTCAAAACAACAATAATTATATTCAAATAATCAGTACTCATTTCTTGAATATTAATAACCATGTTACTATACTATTAATCATTCTTAGATATTTAGTAATCAAAGTCATTATTTTAGTAACAAAATTAAGAAAAAATAATGAAATTGAAATACGGAGTTCGCATTTCTAAAATTCTAATTACAAAATCAAGAAGTCAACGTCCATGCCTAATATTTTAAGTAATCATATCCATTATTTCAACAACAACACTTTTAAGTTTGTTCAGTCAATTGGAAAGGCTTAGAACTTGAGATCTGATAGTCACCAACAAGCTAAGACACTAAGAGAGAGAACATAACAACGAGTACTCATTTCTTAGATATCGAGTCTTATTTTCCAAAAAATTTCAAGAAATAAGAAAGATGTCCCTGAAATCACATCTTTAGAAGTTCATGTTTCAACCCACGATTCTCATCTCAAAGTTATTAGTTGGATTTTATAGGTTTACACACTGTGAATATAGTGCTGCCACCAAGCATTTCAACCAATCAAAACTACTTGGTAAAGGACGATATGCATCAAACTATAGAGCAGTCATTCATAGATCAATCAATATATTCACATTTCACAGTAAGGAGATTCAGTGAGAGCCTTTCAAGCAAGTTCAACTTTGAAATAAAGGTAAACACAATCCACCGTCTTGAGAAAGCCCTTCGAAATCATAATCAACAATTCCTCTAAAAACTCCTTATGTATCTCAGAGGCATGGATGATACTTAAAATCGAAGCAGAACAGAGTAAAAAAAATGAAAGCAACAGGTTATGGCAGTTTACAGTAAGCTACTTGGGGAAGAAGGTTTGAAAGAAACAAAAACAAAATGGAAGACTCAAAATCATGGCAATGGGCCGGATTTATTTCGGTACTGATACACCAGATAATTAAATGGTCATGAAGCGCAACCATTTAGGAAGTAATATAAGCATAATTATTTTGTGTTTTTGGGGGTTCATCAATTATAACATACCCGTTTACTAGGAACTGGTTTTATTCCCAACTCGTTGCAAGCTTTGGTTATAATAGTTTGCATCTGCGATCTACAAGAGGAAAAGCAATCCTAGTCACGTTTTCTCCAAATAAAAAACAAATAGATACAAGCAAGGTAGAGGGAAAAGAGAGAGAAAGAGAGACCTGAAAAATCGAATCTTTTCGGGAAAGGGCACACCGAGCTCTTGGGTGATGGAAGCAATAGCGTCCCTGAGAGTGATGCTGTTGATGACATTGTTGGGAAAGTACTTGGTGTACTGAAGGGACAGAGACGAATCGCATACCACCAATTCCCACACCTTCTTCCCCCTCTCGTCCAAAATAGGCCTCGAACAGAAGTCCAACTCCCACTCCGTGATGCTCCCCACCGTCCGATCACCATCCAGGTCCAAGAAACACACCTCCGACATCGGATCGACTTCATCGTCTTCTTCCTCAGCTGCCTCCGGTTCGAGCACTACGCTGTCATTGGGCGACGTGACGGAGCTCGCCGGCCTAATCAAGTTGAAGCGTCGGTGTGTTGAGGCGGTGGCAGAGAGCAATCTCCTCGACGGCGTGAGCGGGATGGAGATGGATCGGGGATAAGAGATGGCAGTTGATACTGGTGAATGCGGTCGAGGGCTTCGAATTCGGAGCGATTGGAAGCCGATAGTCGCCATGAGAAGAACTGCGACGGGGGGCTCACTACACCCGCAAGTAGCGGAGCTCAGTTGCAGTGGAAGATGGTAAAGGTGCAGACTTTATCCACAACACCGTGGGAAAAAAAAATAGAATTTTATGTAAATATCAGTAAAAATATAATGATTATTATTATTAATTTATATTAGACGCATTTGTATATTTTTATAAGATCATATAAATTAAAAAAATATTTTTTAAATATTTCCAAAATGACTTATAAATTAGTTTCTTTTTAGGAAACTAACTAAAAATGCATTGTTGAATTGTAATTCAGTTTTACTCATACTTTATTATTACTTTATTTTTTTAGGTTGACATCTATTTTCAAAATAAATAAAAATTTGTGGTCCTAATGAGACTATTCTATCTTCATATTTTTAAATTTGTTAAACCAAAAATCTTTCACCTACATTTACTCTTTGATGGCAAACTCCAACATTTTTTTTAATATGCTTGAATCTAAACCACAAACCCAACTAAAATTATCAAATTCAATGAGAATGAAGCTATGATATGAGCCAAACGAAAAAATAACTTGTATTGTGCAATACATCTATAAGACAATTACACATCTTAATGAAATTAATCAAGAAAAATCGAAATGAGTTGAAGCAACGAAGAAGAAGGGAACATCAGCAACATACCAACAAAATTAGTTTTTTGTAAATAGTTGAGGCATGGCAATGGTGACGACAACACCCACATTAGTAACAGAGGTGATGAAGCACATAATGTCAATAATAGAGGTGATTATAGGGTGACAATGGAGATTAGCTTTGAGATTCAGTATAGCTAAGCTTGTTGAGCTTGTAGTTCTTTTAAATCTTAGGAAAATCTACATAAAACAAAATTTTGATTTGGGATAGCAAAAAGTAGGATAAAATTTCTCTAAACTCTGATTGAACTTACATGCATCAACATGAAGAACATGGTTGAGGTTGGCAAGCTGTATTCAGCTGCGATGAGGAGAAAAGGCTGCTACTATTAAAATGTAAGGTGCAATTGAAAGTAAGCATTATAAGGCGGGGTTTAATTTCACATGCGGAGGAATCCACATAGCCACCTCTACATATCATTCATCCTATCATTGCTTCACTTTGAGGTAACCACCGAGCAGCACATCCTAAGGAGGTTTGATTGATTATTTAATTGATTATTTAAATTCTTAAGTGTTATTTTCTTAACTTTTTTTATTTTTATTATGGGGACTGTATTGGAAGCTGCTTCACATTTGCACATGGTTCATGATTGGCCAGTTAACTGTCCCATGTTCAAGGATGCTTTGAGGTTTGTTGGACTAGACTGTGTGAGCCAGATGAGGTACATTAGGATGGACCACCATTTGCTGAATGATTTGGTTGAGAGGTGGTCACCACAAATGAATACAATTCATTTGGTTGTTGGTGAAATGACAATTATATTATAGGATGTATGATGTATCAATGATTCTTGCTGTACAAGTTAATCGGCCAAAATTTATTGGACACCCAATAGTTGGTTCTGGCATATGTTGGCTGAGTTGACCAGACTGTTGTGATGATTTGCTTGGAAGGCATCCAGAGACAGATGTTCTTATCAGGACTCTTTCGACCCTCGCATCACATCTAAGTTCAGGATGGGCTAGGCACACACTCAGACATGTGTTCCACTGAGATGGTTGAGATTGACTTTTTGGCGTGACTCTTACTTGGACCTTTCTGAGATTGATTTTTTTAGACATGTAAGGGCATACATCTTATTCATTTTAGGTTTCCACCTGCTACTAGATACGTCAGGATTAGAAATTCACTTGTAGTATCTACCTTTGATGGAGGATTTAGCGATATTCAGGACATTTTCACTTAGAGGAGCAGTGTTAACCCATTTATATAGAAAGCTTTCTGAAGCTAGACGGCAAAAAAGGACCAACATAGTAGGTTGCATCCATTTATTACAAATCTGAGTTTGGGAGCACTTATATGTTGGTAAACCACTGCTTCAAATTCCATACCCAATTCACCTTGACGGCATTAGTGTGGGGTTCAGCTATACTAACCATTTCTTTATTCGTTTATCACTTTTAAGTAAGTTTGTAATGAATATGATAAGAATGAGTTGTTTATAGGTGGAATGAGGAACGATTACATGAAATACTAGCTGGAAATGTTGCAACGTACAAAGATGAGCTAGATGGGTTGATTGATAGTCAAGTAATTTATGTGATGTAATTCAAGATTTTATATATATAAGTTAGTTAAACACCTCATATCTATAACAACAATGCAGGTTATATGGGAGCCCTATACGGAAAAAAATTGCTCACAAGTTCCCCAAATTTGCTCAGCAACTGAGGAGATATGGCTTTATAGAGTTCCTATGATCAGTTGGAAGAGAGTCTAGTGGCACCTTCCAGATAGGGTGATACGCCTGTTTGGATACTTCCCCTCCACTGACTTTAGATATCACCAGTCCTACATTTTTATGTGGGAGAGAAGGAATACATAGTGATAGAAGAGGTATGTGGTCCTAAATATGACTACAGAGTGTCTCAGTATTTGAACTAGTTCAAATCTTGGGCAACACTATATATGTTTAAGGCACCAGCGGACTCGCTTAGGACATGCTATACTAGAGCATCAGCAGAACGACATATGGCGAGTCTCTTTTATTAAATTACATTATCTACTACTGAACTTAACAAACTTTGAAAATATGTGCAGCATGATTTATTACATTATCTACTTTAGTCACACATTCTGATGTCAGTCTTGAGGATCAACAACATCTATGCACCAAGCCAGTGCGTACACCACAGCATTTCCCTCCATACACTAAAGCAATACCACATCGGCATAAAAGGAGGCATTAGTGATATCCACTATGTACCTTATGGATGTTTGACTTATATTGTGATGTTGAAAGTGTACTCCTTAGACATGGTTTATGCAGTACATTTTATTTTATTTTGATGTCATTATGATGTTATACATGTTCACAAATGATTAATATGAACTTGAAGATTTTAAAAAACTAACAGCTTTCTTACTCCTGAATAAATCTTTTCAAATCACATCAAACTAGCATTCATTCAACAACTACAAAACAAAGTAAAAAATAGCATAACACGAACTAAATAGTTGAAGGAAAAAATAACGAGTAACTCAACTGATATCAGCACATAAACAACAGGTTACATATTTTTACTCATCATCTGCATGTGAGTTTGGAGTTGGGTCTGTGTTGAACAACAATTAAAGTGATACTCAAACTCTTGTTGAATATACTGTCAGTCCACTCCATTCAAAAACTCTTTCTTTCCTAATACAACATTTCCAATAACCATCTTATAGGATTATAATAGAAATTCATTATGTCTAGGATACTATTTATGATAAAAAATACAATGATCTACATCGACCATTGACCTTTCAATGATCACCTCAACAAAACATTCTCTATCACAATCGGTTTCACGAATTTGACCCGACGACCCCTGAGAAAGTCCAGCGAAATCAAATGCCCACCATGTTCCATGAATCACTGTTGTACATATCTCCACCCCGCATCTCTAAGATCATCGCCGACACTATACAACTTTATTTTCATAAGTTCATCATGTGTATGCCATAATAAACAATCTTCATATTTGCTCCAAAAATGCATAACACATCAAAAATTTTTGTTACATTTGACCTTGTCTTAAATACACTTATCATACCTTATAGCCAAACTTTCTTTCAAACGCATACTTCCCTCTTAAATCATCTGAATGGTGAGAATTCTTTGAATCTTATCAATTACCGACAAATACATTGTAAATACATTGTGAAGTAAGGCATGAGAGATTGGACAACTCTAGCAAATAAACTTAAGTCTACAAGTTTCATATCTTGCTAGTCAAATAAACCTCTACATCTGCAACTTATATAGACATAAAAGCACACCTAAGCTCTGATAACTAAAACATGAAGAACATTTAATAAAACTAATTGATATTGTCTATATAACAAGACAATATATGCATATAAATATGATTTGATGATACACCATGATTTAATAACATAACTTTACAGCTCATATAATATGACTACTCAATGCAACTTGACAGCTCAAAAAATAAAAAATTTAACTGAAGTACTATTCATCTATGAAGCATATCTTCAAAACTTAACCTTGAAAGACTAATATTTAATATTTTTAAGTTAACTAAATTAGATTAGTAAGATAATTTAAAATTTTGTCCTAAATATTAAGGTTAGGGATTAATGTTCCTTCTTTTGTCGTTGAGGCCTCTTTATAAGAGAGTAATGCTTTATTTTTTTGATTAAGCACAACGATGCTATCTGAGCAGAACTCGAGGAATCCAAAGAGTAACTTTTGTTATCAACTATAGAGAGATGTGAAGAACGATCATCATATCTGGTAGATGGTTCACAACTAATTCTTTGAAGGTCCTATGACGGAGAACATCCTCTTCTGATTTGCACTCTCATTTGGATAAACGAATAAAGACGTTTTGCATCATTGCAATTAATATACAAAACAAGGGAGAAAATTCATACATAAAGATAGTTTCAGAAATAATTTAATGATTATGATCAACCTGCTGCACCCTACAGTGCAGACAGCAGAACTTTAATAGAGACTCAAATGCTTGCAATCAAGTTCTAGTCTCTTATGTATTACTAGCTGGCAAACGGGGCCAGTTGAAAGCATGTAAAAAACCTTGCAATAACCTCAAAAAGCTGACAAAACAGCCAAACATAAGTTATAGATACCAAATACAAAATTTTGCAGTCTAAGAAAAGTTCAGGGGAGCTCAATCTTCAAGCTCTATGATCTTCACCACTGAAGCATCCCCCACTTTTTGGCAAACAACAACGCGATCATGTGTCTTGATCACACCAGAGGCCTTGCCATATTCCAACGCAACCTTCAGAACTGATTCATTGGTGGCACTAGTGGACTCAGCCTGGGCAAAATGCAAAAAATTAGCAATTCGAGAGTTTGAGGGGTAAAAAAGAGTAGCGCTCATTCTTTTGCGGGTTAAAATGTTAGAAATTAAAATTTTTGTATTAGAAAGTCGCTTTAAAAAGCATGAAGAAAACCGTCCCAAACGAAGCCTAAGTCTCCCAAATAATAAACCCAATAATTATGGTGCTTTTTTAGTATATTCAGATAACACAGTTACTGCTTAAAAAAAGAACTTGATGAGGACGCACCAGTAAGAAGTATTATGTAAAAAGCAAAATAGATCAAATTTGTCGCCCATGAAGGACTTTATTAGACGTAAAACATATAACACTGTCTACACAACATTCATATCAGGCAAAACTTCTCTAGGTCATCCACAGCACATAACAAAAAAAAATACATAGAACATCAAAACTTATTCAGCAAACCAAAACTAATAAATTCTAGAAATAGAATCCTCAAAATAGAGAAATACTTACAGGGTGTCGGGGGTCAGCGAGCATTGGGAAAAGACCTCTCACAATGAGAGATTGTCTTGCCTGCAGATTCCATTGAGAAAAAACAGTTACCACACAACTTTGATGCACTCAAGAAAAAGCTACAGAGATCATTTGCAAGAGAAAATAATAATTTATGGTGACAGCCAAAACAAACAAAAGTGCATACTACATATATGGTCAATTCTAGAAGCATAAAGCATGGACAGATTAATGAAATAATGAAAATATTCTGCTAACCTCAAAAGCACCAGTGAAACTCCATCTTAATTGGTTTGTCTTAAGCCGAGGAATGACCACAGAAATAACAGGCATCGTAGGCCTATATTTTGCAATTAGCCTAAAGACATTGAAAACATTCAGGATGTTTAGCAAATGGAAAGGGGCACAACTTGCTAAAACTAGCACTGCAATGTTATAACCAAAATAGCAATTCCATACTTGATTCGTACAGTTGGAACATTACCTGGCAGCTCTTCCAGATGAAGTAAAGCAGATAAGGACAGAAGCCTTAACTTTAATAGCCGCACGTACCTAGGAAAAAATCATAAACATAAATCAAAGAATGCATAAAAAAAGTATGAGGAAGAGCAGGCATGATGAGAAGTTAAATCGGAGGCAAGAGAGAAAATTATTGACATACAGCAGATGAAGCAATGGACTCCAAATGGGTCATTGGTTCTCCAACATATTTTACTGTCTTCTTGAAATATAGATCATGGTTGAAAACCTTCTCCGCCTGTGATTACATGCTTTAAATGAATGATAAAAGAACATAGACACCGACATTCATACATAGACCCCTTTACCTCCAAAAAAATTCAAGCATTCGTCACCACCACCATAAATAAACATCAGCATTAATAGAAACTACATAAAAAATAAACTGACCTCTGCGCATATTCTGCCGACTGTTGAAATAGTTTCAACAGGGTACAATCCTCTAAGAGTTTCAGCACCAAGAAGAATTGCATCACTCCCTGCATGGGTGGCAGTCACAAAGATACAAGTCATTATTATTTTAGACATTTTTTAGATGATTAATTACAATGAGCAGAATGGCACTAAATCAAAGAGGATTAGGAAACAAAGATACCATCAAGCACGGCATTTGCCACATCGGTTGCCTCTGCACGAGTTGGCCTAAGGTTATCAGTCATGCTGTCCACCACTCTAGTAACCACTGCAGGTTTTCCAGATGTGTTACACTTGTATACAGCAGCTTTCTGAAATAAAAACACCTGAAGAAACCACAGAATTAAGAATTAATTGATACAAGATTATAATAAAAAGTGACAATTTTTTTTTTAAGCTTGCGAAATATGAAACATTCAATACAACGGTAATAAAATTCATCAATTAAGTTTGGATACGCCTGATATAAATTTTGGTCTCTTAAACGATCTAACATTTTCAGAAACTTTGGTTTATTGAATTAATTCGCATTCTCAGATTTTGATAAGTTGTATCCACAAATTTGGCTTTGGGGAGAACTTAAAACCTTTGTTAGAAGTCAAACATCTAGCCGTAGTGGCGTAGGCCACTTAAAATAATGACGAAGGCCCTTGGCTTATTGAAAACAGCAAGGGCTATGGAGATGAGACCATGATCTAGCCAAATCTTGAAGTAATGACTATATTGACTAGTTCTAAATAAATTTCATTTTATTTAAAGCATGTGATCTTCTTAATACTTTTGCCTCAAAATGAAAGAAACCATGAAGATATCATGGCATCATCATTGACTAGATGCTCAAAACTTGGCTCATTTGCTAAGCCTTCTCTCTTGTTCAGCAAGTGATTCTTATAGGAAAAATATCTTTACAACATTAAATATTATCAGAAAAAGGTTATCAAACACTACAGTAGTACGGGAAACATCATATGATAACAAACTAAGAAAATAAATAATGTCTTCCAAACTTGGACTTGGATAACATGCAAGCATTCGACCACAATATCTTAGTTAAGGAATAACAACAATATGTTAAAACTATGAAGAACCCAACAAAGACGAACCTAGGCCACTTAGCGAAGTGAGTCATGCAACATTAATATAAAATAAGCAAAATGCAAATAATTAGATAATTAGGTAAAGCATGGCATAACCTGAAATCACAAGTGAAGTTATGCAGAAAGCACAGTAAAACAGGAAAATCAGAAGAAGAAAAAAAAACTTTCTGATATGGTTCTCCAAGTTAACGATGAAGCACAACTAGTCAAATAAAAATAAGGCATTTAATCAAAATGTAACTCTAGTATAGAAAAAATAGCAATTAGGCGTTGCAAAGGTTCAGCCACCTATCACTGGTTAGGACTGATAATATCATTATCAAAATAATTATTAACTTGCTGATGATGATGATATACAAAAATGTTCATTAATTTCTAGAGTACAACAATATCAAGCCTTTATCTAACTATGTGGGGTCGGTTCTGCTCTTCTCCATTATTAATTCGGCTGATGATGATGATTTACAAAATGCTCATTAATTTCTAGAATGCTAAATGAAAATTATTAACTACATTTTCCGCAAGCCAATTTGGACTTCCACCTTTGGTCTATCCCAAATCCTCTGATCTACCTCCCACTAATAAGGTGCTTTCATAAAATTAATAATCTAGATAGGTGGATAGATTATTATGTGCAGACATCAAAATAAAAAAATAAAAAAATATAATCTAGATAGGTGTCCAGTGGCCACTGTAACGGACTGCCTAATTTCTGCGGTGAAATATTCATATCCTATTAAAATAATACCAAAAGCAATGGACTGGAGCCAAGAAACTTTGAAAGCTACTGCAGATGCCATATTTCCGATGTCTCCTATAAATCTTTAATGAGGGCATACAGTGAACATCTCACGGCATAATCATAAAAGATATAAGAAAAAATAGAGTATGCAGAAGAATCCAAGCGGGATCTTTTAGAAAACTAACCTAACTAAACCCTTTTTTTTTTCTGAAGACTTGAATCTGAGACCGAAAAAAAAAACAAATTATTCTAGAACAATTCCCGCAAGAACATAATCCTAAGTTTTAAGGATTATTGCAATACAATACAGAAGAAGATGACCTGATATAATACAAGTGAAAAAAATAAATTAATTAATATCATAACAGGGCCGTCAATATATTAAGTGTAACTTGTATAATTGAACTAATCAATTTATTTTTTTAATAAAAAAAGAATAATTATGTGAACTCATTTAATTTGTTATCTTTCTACAATATAAATTATTATAAAAAAATACTCAAAAAAGCCTTAATATTGGTTTCAGTACTACATGAGGAAACTAGAGCATGCTATTCAAAATTATATCATCATCATCATTAGCCTTACCCCAACTAAAGGGTCATAAATCTTCACTTTGTATTTTCTTCAATTAAGTATTGGTAGATATAGTAAATTTATTATTCATAAATCATTTTGAACAACTATTATATATGTAACACTAGCTCTACCTATTTTTCTCCCCAATTCTCTTGCACAAATTTTATGGACACAGCTAATAAACGCACTTTCTACACTTCCTTGTATATGTCCAAAATAAATTCTATTTTTATCTCCTTATCTTCAATAGACTCAACTCCATTTTTTCCTCTAATATAATCATTCATTAATTTATGATTCCTAATTTTGTTACACATTCATTTTAACATTTTAATTTGTCACATTAAGATACTAATGACTTTTTTTACAGACCAACATCAATACCCATATAGTAGCATCATTGGCATAATTGTGATTTCTCAAATTTACCGCTAAACCACCATGACCTTCTTGTCACACAAAAGTCCTATGTCACTTCTTTATTTTAATCATCTAGGTTTTAGAAGTAATATTTTCATTTATTTTTTACAGCCCAACATTCAAATCTATCCATTTCATTTAGTAATTTTCTTGGAGACACATTGATCAATGTTACTCATCATCATCATCATCAATAGTCCTATCCCAACAATTTGGGGCTGGTATTATAAATCCTTATTTTCTATTCATTGTAGTTGAGTATTGTCTAAACTGTTAAAAGTACACTTTATAAAACATTTTGAAAAACCTCTATCCACGTAACATTAGATCTACCTCTTTTCCTCCTTAATTTCCTACACTAATTTTATGAACTTATCTAACAAATGTTTTCTATCCTTCTCTCTATATGTCCCAACCAAAATATATATTTCAGTCTCTATATCTTAAATAAATGTCACTCCTACCTTTTATTTAATATGATTATTCATTAATTTATTACTCTCAATTTTATGACACATTTATCTTAACATTCTCATTTATGTAATACTCAATTTAAATATCAATACTTTTTTTGCATCCCAACATTCATACACATACAACATCAATGGGTTAATTGTGATTTTATAACATTCACCTTTAAACCATCATGATATACTCTTATCACACAAAATTCCCAAGTCACTTCTCCATTTTAATCATCCATGTATCCTTCCTTAATTTTAGAAGTTATATCCTTAATATTATCTTCATTCTTTTGTCTAGTAGATACAATATACTTAAACCCATTACATATAGATATCACATCATCCTCCAATAATATTCATTGATGATTATTAACCTATCACCATAATTGGTGCATTGTTAGTGTGAGGAAATGTAATTCTAATAGGTGAAACTATATTTTGAAGTGAAGAGTTAGACAAAGGTAAATAATTTCGAAGGACAGAAAGCTTGGATTCAAACAATAAAAATTGAGCAAATTACATACAGTTTCAAGGACTTGAAAGTCCCAAATCTCAAACAATTTCAATGGACTTGAAAGCCATACTTATCGATTAAAATTTTAAAAGTTTAAATAAAAACTAGGTGAGATGAATAAATTATCTTATATTTAGTACACAAAAATGCATAGATCTGCATTAAGTAGATAAAATCTAGAGTTAAAACTTGGCATTTAAAATGGAAAAATATCTTAGAAGTTCCGCATAATGAGAGGATATTATAGTTAAAAAATATTTTTTATAAAATGAAATTAGATCAGTTAAATTATATGCATCTAAATGTAAGCTAATGGCCTACAAATAGCCAAGCTAGAAAAAGAAAAAGTAACATTGTAGAGATGGATGTGAAAAAAAATCTAGGCAATAGAGATGAATAATACTAGAGATGAATGATTGAAGTAGCATTAATTAAAGATAAACTAATGGAAAATAGATTTTTATGTAGCTTAAGTACATGAAAGGGTAGAAGATGAACTAACAGGGCAAGCATATAAAATTAGTGTGGAATAGTAAAGAAAAGAAAAGGAAACCAAATGTAAATATTTTTATAAGTCGTGCAAAGAGATTAGAACAAAATATAATTAATACCTAATATAGCACTCATCATGAAATGACTAAGGCCGCACATAGCCACCCTAAATAATTGTGTAAGACTAATGATGACGTGTTCTCTATTGAATCTTTTATCTATTTTCCTAAAAAAACAATAGAGTTAATAACTCAGTAACATTTGAATGAACTTTAACATCTCTCCATACATCATTTTCTTTCTTTATTATAAATGAACTCTTTTTCTTCTCCGAAAACCTGTACCTTGCCCGTCCCAAGAACACCACCCCTCCCCCGCTTCCTTTTGTTCAATATGTCGGATATTTTTCTCTTTGATGGTATAAAATATTCCTTATTAAAAAATTTAAAAAATAAATAAAAAGTGGCAATAATAATAATAGCAACAACAACAACAATATCAGTAATATCAATAAAGCAAAAAATGAAAACCAGGAGTATTCTTTTCCACTAAAATCACTTCAAATAAGCATTATGCCATTTTAACATCACTTGTTCATTATTTGTATGTTAGAAGAATTATAATATATCAAACATAGAAAACTTAATCTCATTATTGATTAAGTTGTCATCCCTTTTATTCAAATTGATTTAAAAATAAATATCTTAGAAAAATAGATAATTCCAAAAAGCACCATCTTTGCCTGTAATTAAAAACTTCAAAATTTTAAAATTGGCCCATATTACATTACCCCCTTCAAACCCTCGTCAAATCTATCTCAAACACCGCTTATTCCTTCTTCTTTTTTTCTATCCATCAAGATCCCCTCTACTATGCCCGCTCTCTTCTTATTTTTGACAACAAGAAAAATCTGGATCCATACAGCACCATCTCCTCTCCCTCCCTGTTAACCCATGTCATAAAAGCATTCCCCATTCCCCCTTTTTTGAAGAAAGATTGATACCTTTCTTAATTTCTTAAGTTCAAAAAAATGGAAAATTTTGAAAAAATAAATAAATAATGGAAACGTTTGAAAATAATGGGCATTCTTCCCTGCAGATTTAAGAAGAGCTTTCCAGTTAAAAAATTATTACAATGAATGTCTTTAAAAATAAAAATGGAAAAGAAACTGCAGTAATCCAAACTGACGGCCATTTTTCTATAATATTTTATGTTATAAGAATCTTTTGGTGCGAATTATAATATCATGTCAGGACAGGTCCATCAGGATACTTCTAATCATCTCATGCGTGACAAAATAGCATTCATATTAGGAGTTCAGATACAGAAAACAAGATTGCTGATGTAATTCATCCTATATCAGATATTTAGAATCCAACTTAGTAGCAACCCAAAGTGAAAAAAATTATTAGGACATTGTAATCCACACTGGTTGCCTTTTTTTTTATGAAGAAGTTTTTGTATAACAACAGTTCTTTTCTTTTCTAGAGAGAACTATCATCATGTAGGGTTCCATGCCACACTCGCCCAAGTAGAATGCAGAATTCATGTGGTAGCAGCGGTCAGGCTCTTTTTCCAGCTGAGCATGCTAAAAGACAGATGGCAACACCCGATTGGGCGTGGCATGTTCAAGAAACATGCCAATGTGGGGAAGCTGCCCCAAAAGGGGCTTAAGATATGATATGAGGAAATTAATCCATCATTAAACCATCATGAAAATTTATTAGAATCTTCTGCATGACAAATTACAAATTTAAATTACAATTTTCATGCAAGCAAGTTACAGCAGTATGTCCTGGACCTGAACAAGTAAAAAACAATCAATCAAGTATCGTGAATTGGGTTTAGGACCACAATCAAGTCGGAAGCACAAAACAAACTTATAGAGCTACCAACATATTTTTCATCATGTTAACTAAGAAGCTATGAACCAGAAAAGGAAATCAATGCTAATTGGGTCTAACCAAGAAAAATATTTCAAATAGATGCATTCAGCATGCTTTAAGAAAAGATCGACAGCAAATTTGCACACTATTTATAGACAAATACCTATAAATTACTTGATAATGCCAGGAATAATTTAAGCTACAGCAGAAAGAAAACATGTGATGCAAGTAGAAATGGTTTAAGCTACAGAAGAAAGCTTTAAAAAAACAAAAAGGCGCACAAACTATAACAAAAAGAGAGCAAAAAAGAAGAGTACAATAAAAACAATATTAATAATTGAGAAAGTATTTTACACGCCTTCGCATCAACATTGATTTTTTTTTTTTTGTTATGTCAACTAAAATGGAAGTAAATGGCTTTCTATAAATGTTTACAATTTTGAAATAGTTTTTAGTCAAATAAAATACCTAGCCGCATTTTTGTCACATAGAGACCAACTAAGAATAATTAACAATTGCATGTCACCTAAATAAAACCAAATCCAGCATAAATGTTATATAATGAACCTTCTCTGGAGGAAGATCAATTCCAAGATTTCCACGTGAAAGAATGATGCCATCTGCTTCTTGAAGAATTTCATCAAAGTGTTTCAATCCCTAGAATGAAATAAGGAAAGTTAAGAAGGTACAAAATTTCAAAAATGGGTTATTCGCGTAGATTATGAACTGCAAAAACTTTTTTGAGCAGAGCAGTAAAACACTTCTTGCAACTTACCTCAATGTTTTCAATTTTTGCAAAAATTTGAGTTTGTTGTAGCTCACCCAACTTTGATAGGAAGTCACGTGCCTGGAGTCCAAAGATCCACAGAAGGGTTAGAAAGATAAGACCATTGGTTGATAAATCTCAAATTGGAACTGAAGAAAGCAAATCATTTCGAGAGAAAAATAATAATAATAATAATAAAAGGAAGAAAGTTGTAATCTAGTCCCCTGAATGGAGTTGGAGAAACCAGTAACTATGAAGACTGGCCATACTTACTTCACGAACATCCTCTGCATGCCTTGTATAAGAAAGTGATAGGAAATCGATTTTATTTCTAACACCCCATTTACTGATGACCTGAAATGATTGAAAAAATGTTCAGTGCATTACTTTCTCATAGAAAAATTAAAATAAATATTTGCAGAGCCTAAACAAATAAGAAATGCCACCAAATATTTGGCAGAAGGCTCATGATGATGAACACCTAAAAAATCAGGTTTTCAAATAAGGACAACAAAAAGTGGAATGTAGAGTCTATAGTTCCATACCACTAACTTGCTTCAAAATTTTCATATCAAACAATAAGAACAGAATCGCATTACAGTAAAAGACCATCAAAAGAAAGTCGCAGTATTGTTCAGCCCGTAATCTCAGCATAGCTAGTCTATTAGCTATATCAGATCCAATTTATTCATTTCTTATAACCCAATGGATTCATGTCATTATTGTTCGACAAGTTTTACGCTGGCTGTCGACTACCTGCTTTATGGTGCCGAATGTTGGCCTTTAAAAGAGAAGCATAATACTAAGTTAAGTGTGGCAGAGATGAGGATGCTCAGGTGGATGAGTGGCTTTACCCTTAGAGATAGGATACGAAATGAGCATATACGTGAAAAGGTTGGAGTAGCTCCAGTAGAAGATAAGATTAGAGAAAGCCGCCTTAGATGGTTTGGTCACAAAAAACGGCGGCCTTGCGATGACCCGGTTAGGAGAGTAGAGGTATTAGATTTGACTTATGTTAAGAAAGGTAGGGGTAGACCTAAAAAGACTTGGTTAGAAAATATTAGGAATGACCTTTCTTTATTAGATTTAAACGAGAATTTGACTTTTAATAGGACACAATGGAGAAAAAGGATTCATGTAGCCGACCCCACGTAGTGGGATAAAGGCTTGATGTTGTTGTTGTTGTTGTATAACACAATGGAATTTCTTTCAATAGCACATGCTTAGCAAAATAGAGAGAATATTTTTTTCGTTTATGTAAAGCTAGTTCCCATATTATTAACTTTGAGCAGCTTTGGTAACCCGACATGGCAAATGCATAAACGTGGCAAACGGAAAAACAAAAAAGGGCCTAGAAACTTAACAGCCACTTGGTGTTGTATGGGCATTAAAATTCAATCCAATGGAACTTCTTAAGGGACTTATAACTAAATATGTTAAAGCTAAATAAATACAGGGATGTGAATGCAAATACTAAAATAAATGAGTACAAGCTCAAAATAATACCCGGACTATCAATAAATGTCCAATTTAATCCTAGAGTTTCGCATTGCCCCGTTTTAGTCCCTTGATTATTAGAAATTGTCCAATTTGGTTCCTTCGTTAAATTTTTCGTTCAGATTAATGGAAGAAGCCTGCAAGTGTTTGGTTCTTTGGGGTATTTTAGGAAAATACTTCTTTATCTAATCCCTCACATTCCCACTATAATTTCCTGGAGACGAGCTAGAGATCAAATGGTGCAAGGCAGAAAACCTGCAACTGCAAGCAAGACAACGTGCTGCGACATATAGCGACCACGAGAGTGATGACCGATTGTTGCAAGAAAGACGACGCACACGCACTACGAGCGAGACGAGAGAGGCAACGAGCAACGAGTTGCGAACGAGAAGAGAGGTCGCGAGCGAGACGGCAAGCGGCCGCAAGCGCCAGACCGGATACTCTTAGTTGATCCAAAAAGTAAAATAAACCTAAACTTCTAGTCCCCAATCTAAATACTCATTCATATCAATCAATCAATCATTTAATATTTTCTAGTGAAGACGAACATTAAAGGTGGGTGGCCCACTTTTCAAGTAATATTAACATTCGGGTCTTGCTCATGCCATCTAAAAGTATCTCCTACATAAAGGGCTCATCAAGGAAACAAATAGTATTAATGGGATCCATGATATGGTCATTATGGTGCACATGGCATAGATGGGGTGCTCTTAATACTACCCATAGTAGGGATCATCATATCACAAATATGGACAACGCTATGGTGCAAATGATAACCACCAAATAAATCAACAAGAGCTAATGGTGGTGGAGGGGGGTACTCTTTCATCCTGAGGTGAAAAATGTTCTCATCCTCAGAATAAAAATGAGCACGGACACAGAGGAATTAAGAGTTGAGGGAATCCATGGCTCGACGGATTGAGTTCAGCATAAACATCACACCTATCAAGGTGGATTGGTGGGTTTAAACTTTCATTTTAATCAACTTTAAGTGGATGACCAAACAAGCCCATCTCCAAAAAGTCTAATTGACAATGCATCTCAATAAGCAGAAGAACGGACATGACATAATGTTACAGAGTCGCTCATGAAGCTGAAAAAGAAAAAGCTTATCGCATTGCATTTAGACTACAACCATGAAATAGGAAACCGCTCATACTAGCGACAGGATCAAATAACATAGTGTAATGTCATGAGAATGTAACCATATATTGTGATTTTTTTTAAAAATGCAAATATACCGCTAGTTGAACCATGGGCCCTACTACCAAATATGATGTAGAACTAACGGGCCCAATTCAATGAATGCTTCCAAAGGGGACTTCCTTAACACTAAATATTTTAAAACCAAATAAATGTATCGAACGTGAATACAAGTACAAAAAGAAATAAATCTCCAAGCAAAATGAGCATGCACTAGATTATGAATTACTTGTAGAATTAAGATGCAATCAATCTAATAGCTAATCCTCAAGTTCCTCACAAGATATTATTAAGGGTGAGAACCACATAAAGCTACAATAATTATGAACTACAAGATAAGAACATCAAAAGAATGTTATAATCGCACCCAAATTTAAACAAATAATAGTCTAACATGATTATGTGCTGCTCGGACAAACAAAACATGACAAAAAAATAACTAAAATTGTTGTAGATAACAAGAACACTAAAATTAAGGGAAAACAACAAGAACAACAAATTTGTAACTAGCGAAATAAGCTCTGGATGGAGTGGCAACTAAAAACAATGTGGTAGAACAAAATTGGCAATATAGTACAGTTTGAAAACAAAACATTAGGGTTCCTTCCAAACACAACAAAGAAAAAATAAGCTACAACAATAGGAAAGATTGGAGATTATACCAAGAGGCCTAGACCTATGATTGGAGCACTTTCAAAGGACCCACATGAGGATCCTAAACACTGGAACATCAAGAAGTTGCAAATCAATATTAAGCTTCCAAAATTACGCGAGAAGTTCCACTTTAAAGTTTCCAAAAGACATTTGGGCTTCCTAATATTTAATTTCCAAAAAGTCAACCAAGAGAGGGGAAGGGTTATAAAACGATAAGTGCATAAAGTGGTTTTTTATTTTCAAGGAAAGAAAAAAACAATGAGGGTAATTACAATTGTGGATACTTTGAAAATTATGGGAGAGTAAAAGGTGAGTTGGTCAGCCTAAAGGGAGAAATAAGAAAAGGAAAAATTCAAAGTCATGATAATTGGTTAACCCAAGGATTCAAAAAGACCCATGAAATTTCAAAGAATAACAAATACAAAATATCCTCACTAAAATCCTCTCTTAAATGAAAATAGATAATAAAAATAAAATACATAAGGAACTAGTGAAAGCAGCAACAAAATCCCAATGATTGGAGATGTCGATAGCGGAAAACTCTAAGCTCACATCACCACTATAGTCATGTCATTTATAAGGGTCATGGTGAAACTTTTGGAATATCCTCTACAGTTGCATTCTTGGTAAGTTAGCTTAGAAGGATGATATGGTTTGCGACATGTGAACAATTTTTGCCTAGGTATTTCTTCAGAAAATATCATCAAATATATGGCAACTGCCAAATATATCTGACCATAAGAATCTTATTGCATATGTGCCTATATCCTAAATTACAGCTTCCCTATTAAGTGTCCTTTTCTAAGTTTTTTAGGGTGAGATAAATATTTATCATAAACTGAATTAAATTAATCACTGTTATATTTCTACCACCTTGAAGACATTTTACAGCATGGGTGAGTAATGGGTGGAAAACACAAGTAAGAAATCTGCATCATGTATCATTCACTTCCAGTTGAACGTTATTAAATGAAAGCCCACGTTAATACCAAAAGAGAAAAATATGATAGCAGCTTGGATTTAAATTTTAACCAATGAATATCAAATAAATACATAGTTCTATATGAAATAAACTCCAAAAAAAATATAAAAAAAAAGCCATTACATACATCTTTGTCAGCTTCAGAAAGTGTAGGCAAATCAATGTGGACTTGAGAAATGTGCAATGTGAATAGGGACCCTGCTAGAGTAGCTGAGTTCTTTATTGCACAGACAACATCATCTTCCTGTGTCTCAGTTACCTGAACCATAGATATCTCCACGAGTTAACTCAAAATGATAATTTAATGACGTAAGACAATGAAAATATATTTAGGATGGTAAAAAATTTTTGATGCCAAGTTTGAATTGAAAAGCTCAGGTTTTGTGTGTGTGCGCGCCCGCGCCATTTTATTTATATATGAACTTCAAGTAGTCTTTATGTTAGTGCACAGCTAGTGATCAACTTGATAAGCAAACAAGCCAAGTGTAATAAAACTTCTTATGCATTTGCTTAACAAATCGAGCTGAAAAACACGTGAGCTACCTCAAACTCAACTTATTTACACCTAAAAATAATAGTAGGTAAACCTGCATGAAGGCTGCAATGTTGAAGAAACATCAATTTAGGTTTGACAAATTTCTAGCTCATGTTTGCTCATTTGAGCAATTCCATTCAAGCGAACAAGAATTTAACCAAATACCTGTTTTCTTAGAAATTTTGATTGGTCTTCTTGCAGAGAAAGTAGAAACAGATGAATACAAATTTCTAACCAAAATAAATATAGAGTGAATTCATAAGTAATGCATTACCTCCAGCCAAACAGAAGTGGTCTCGCTTCCAGTAAATAAGTATTGACCTATAAATATTGTGTCTCCTGATTTGACTGCCTGCAAAGCGACAAAATATAAAAAAAAGGTATGAGACATGAGAATAGCAACATAATGAAATTTCAAAGAATCAATATGATAATTAAGGACAATTTGATCACTTAATCATTAGCAATTAATTTTCAAATACAAAATTCAATAAAAATAAAAGCCACAATAATTTCAAAAAGTTAGCTTAAAGTTCAAGTTGGTTGATAAAGATATAAGATGAATATCATATATCTTCTTCGGCTACTTATGTTTACTAGAAATGGAAATTAGAAGAAACTAAATCCATCATTTCAAAAGGAAAATATAAAGGCTAGGAATTTATGAAAGAGAATTTTAATAAAAGGATAATGCATGAGCCTGAAAAATAAACCTATTTACACCTAAATATATTTATAAATTGATAAAAATGTGGAATTTAATGTTTACAGAATAAAAACTAGAATAGTTATAAGACTTTTATGCACTTCATGTTTTTATAGCAAATGCACCAAGGTTTTTAACAATCCACTTCATGTTTTTACAGTAAATGCACCAAGGTTTTCAACAATCCAGATGCTTACCTTAGCTAGACCTGTAAAATTAATTGGTAAAAGTTCAGAGGAGGCTTCTTTGTTTTGGTCAGGAGTAAGAACTACTGTTGCATCAGCTTCAAGTGAAATAGCATTTCCACTTTTATTAACAACCTGCAGCTCAGGTCCAACAGTGTCCAGCATTACCTGAAACATAGACATAAAATTCACAAATGCACTCAGAAAAGGGCAGGCGGTGTGAGACTAGTTTTCAAATGTCATATGCCAGTAAGTTGCTACTAAGGTTAAGTTGTGGAGCACAATTTATACCCAATGAAGAAAAGAAACATATTATCCAAACTCATACATGAATGGGATGGAAAAGTGAGTGGGGACCTATCATAAAGGCATCTAATATTGTGAGTTATTTAATTGTGTTTTAAGATTTTTTTTTTTTAAAGATACCTTAGTTTTTCTTATAAAAGTGGCGTCTTTCGGTAGAACTGGAAATATTAGAGATATAAAAAATCCAAAATTGAAACCATGGTGACATATGTAACGTCAACAAAAAGATTTAGTAATCAATTGAGTGAACTAATATAAAAAATATTGGGGTGTGGGTGCTCTGTGTGTGATCTTCTTTTTTTGCTTTATTTGCACTAGACGATTTGCATAAGGTCTTGACCTAATTCTTATCAGCTTATTACTATATTTAAAAACAATAAGAGGCAACAGACTTCATAGGGTGGAAAGCAAAGGAATAATTCTAGCCAAACATGGCTGTCAATTTTTTTACAACAGCTGTTAATTATTAGCGGATGCAAAACATATACATACCTTATAATTTAAAATATATTACGACAACCGAACACCTGACTCAAGTTAACTGCACAGCGATGAATGGAAACTTACAGCGCACAATTTTTTGGTGCTCTTCACAGCCGTCTTAAGGTTTTCTAAAGTTTCCTGGTGATAATCCACGTCTCCCCAAGAGAAGTCAAAGCGCGCCACTGAAAAAAAAAAAACAAAAAGAATGAAAATAAACACCTTCAATATTTTGCAAGCACGGCATAAAACGATAACCGTCTCGTTACTTCTATGAAAAAGACGGAAGCATACCAGACATTCCAACTTTAAGGCAGGCCGATATCACCTCCACCGATCGCGACTTAGGACCGAGCGTCCCAACAATCTTGGTCATCGACGGGAAGAAACTCTGCAAACAAACAACATGATCAACCCAAACTAACAAAATACCAAGGATCTTACAACTCCCAACCAGATTTACAAAACAACATAAAATTTGCAGTAGGGTTAGGAAAGGGGAAAAATCAAACAATCAGATAGATCGGATGTAGGATCAAGAAGACGCACGGATTTGGATGGCTCAAGGATGGAAGCCATCCTGATTGGCTCTTCGAGAAGTAGGTGTGTCGAATGCATCTTCTTCCTCGATTAGCACCCTCTCTGTAACTGCACTTCGCCTTTGGCTTCCCTCCAACGAATGCTAAGAAATATAACTTCTCCTGAATGGCACAGATCACAACGAGAAATAGCGGAAGAAGCGGAGGATCGGAGGAAGTAGAGGCGGCTACGATGGTCTACCAAAGTCCGGGCGATTTTCCTTCTCGTTTTATTAATAAAAATACAAAAGGAATTCGCAATTTTCCCTTTATTTATTCTTTGCCTGGCTCCCGTTGTTTTTGACGACAGATATTGAAAAATCATTCTTCTTATATGGGCCCGTGGTTTGACGCGCAATTAGGTCATATCACACGCGAGCCAGTTAATGGTTAAAAATATTTTAAATATTTCCCCAATATATATATATATATATATATATATATATA